TAGCTGCGTAAAGTTTTCTCGGCACGCAATCAGCTGACAAAGTTTGGATATAAATGATTTAAAACATTATAAATACAGAGAAAAAACTGTAAGATCTAGTCTACTTTGCTAACATACACAGATATTAGACCTACGCGAAATTTTGGATAGTGCCTTATTGCTCAAACTGTAAGATCGGGAAAAAATGTGTCTCTTTTATTGAAAGAGACCCTTTTATCGAAATCAAGCATTTACAGACGGCACGGGCTTATTTGCGGACAATTTCACCAGCCATTTGTGGTGAGGAACTTAACGACAGTGGTAACAAACTAAATTAAAAAGTATTAGTAGTTCAAACTACACACATTACCTAGTAGTAGATTACTCAAATAAATTTAAACTAGCAGGCTGACTCAGAAACCTACACCGGCGTTATCGGTGGCAGGAATGTGAAGGCGAGATTCAAAATTCAAACAGCTGGTAAAAGTAACAACGTGAGCACTCGATAACGAAAATACGCTCTGACTAACCTTTTCGCTACTTCAATTTAAACAGACTGTCGTTCACCCTAACTCATTTACATCCTAGTGATTACAAGCGAGAGGAACCAGAAAGGACAGGAAAATAACTATTAGTGAAAATAATATACCTCACAAAACTATTGCATCTAAGTAATATTTTAGATAACATAAATCAGAAGACGAAGGAGTTGAAGGCAATAATTGTAAATTAAATTCTTCTTTTCAAATAAATCGATTGAGACAGCTCTTGAAGAAAATTAATTCTCTTCCAGGAAAGCAGAAATAGTCAAAATTATCATTAATTTAATTTAGACTTTCAGATTCTTGTCTGCTTATTTGAAGAACTATTTGTCTCATTCACACTTACTCGAATTTTCATGAACAAGACTTCCTCCAAACTCAAATCAGAGAAATGAGAGATAAACAGTCAACGGAACAAGGTAGAATTTAATCACGCCAGTGGTTTCGCTATAAGGTGGTCTCACTAGCGCTTCTTGACAGGCACTAGAGTTCTGGAGATCGTTTAGAGTTTGCGTTTAAAAGTGAAGTTTAAACTTATTTTTGGGTATGAATTTAAAAGGATAAATTATCATAGTCATCTGAAGAAAATTTTAGATCATCATTACTTCATTTTCCTCAGTAATTCAAATCCATTCCAGTGTATTTAACCTTTCATTAAACAGGTACCTGTAGTGCAGTTTCACATAATCTCTTAACTCTTAACTCAGTGCTATTCTTTCTTTCAACATACTGGAATTTTCATATGATTTCACCTCAAAAGAATCCAGACTCGTGCTATTTTAGGTTATTTTAAACTTTATTAATTGTTACTCTAGTTTCCAAAATTTTACTGTAAGGGGTAATTTAACCCTCTGAGCGGCCCGAGTTTTTGGATCTGTCATGATCGTATTTTAGTCTATATTTTGATATACTTACATTCATTAAGATGACATTTATATTATTAATGAAAGTAAGAAAGCAAAATATCTTAAGTTATAAGCTAGTATATACCCAGTAATAAAAAATCTCATGACCGGATAAAGCCGGCTATGGCGCTCAGAAGGAAGAACAGGATTACTTTGTGACATTTTTCTGAGACTTCGCAATTTTTATAATAAACCATTTTAACCTTATTTAGAGATATTCTATAATACTTCAATAATATTAACTGAATCTTTGATTACAATGAACGATGCATTTTCCCTGTTTTCGTATGCAAGAGGGGCGGAACTTCGGAAATTCAATAGCAATATCAGAACGATAACACTAAGCACGGTAATATTAAACGGCGTAATTTCAATACTGTTGGTAGGAGGTGGTCCATGAAAATAAGATTTAACTTTTTATATGATCCTAGCGGTGAAAACGTTCCAGTCAGTAAAATATTCATTATGCTTTAATAACACAAATGCAAAATCTCCATTATATTTTCTGAGAAAAATATGATTAATAAATACTTTTCTCGAACCAGTTACAATTTTAAAAGCCAATATAATTTCGCCCGAAGACCCATTGCTTGCCAAAAAACAAGACACATTTTCTTTTCCACTTTCTCCCTTAGTTTCCTTTCAAAACAGTGGAAGTGCGTTCTCAGAAAGCAAGAAAAAAGTAACTTGCCCCAGTGTATTTCTTCTCATATATCACCGCGAAATTTTGATTTAAAGATAAGGAAAATTTCGCTTTTAACTAATTAAAGCATTATTTATATTACACTTAATGGAATTTTGATTAAGGGAGACTATATAAAAGAGCAGATTTCATTCATTCAGAAGATTTATTCTTCTACCCATACTGAAGCAGTAACTTTTATAAAATTCTCTACCTTATTTTATGGATAATTGTAACTAAAATAAATATTTATAATAAATGTTTAAAGAAATAAAACATATAAACACCTTTTTATACTAATATTTATTTTAATTCTCCTGTTATAAGCATATTTAATATTTGTTATAGTTATAACAACAGTTATTTAGGTTTCTGCTAACTCGCAAAATTTTTAACTTAGCTAAGACGGTCGATAATTACTCACTATCTCCGATTGTTTAAAACGTACGTTTGCTATGTGATGAACTCTCAATTAACTTAGTGTTAATAAATAAAAATTACGAACACTCATTTTGTTCGGAGTACTTTTGAAAACTAGGGATAACATTACGTATACTTATAACTGGGGGGAGGGCTAAAAACCTGGAGAATACCGTGTCTTGGCATTTATCCAAAGACTGCTTTAATAATGTTGAAATGTTCACCCGCTCTACAGAACAATTTCGCACGTTAAGTAATAATCAGTTAACACTAATCGCGAAGTAATGCAAAACATTGATTATAAGAATTACTCAAAATATAAAAGGTGCTAATTAGTGCTGGAAAGATTGTAATCAATTACACAATCTTCGTTTAATAAAGATCTATATGGTCATAAATAGTCATTTGAAAACTATAGCAATTTAAAGATTTCAGTGTAAAAGTTAAAATAGTTTTGAAGAGTAGTGTTTAAGAAATGTATTTTAAAATCAAGATCCTATATAAATTCATTTCTTTCGTGACTTTCCATATTCCAAAGTTTCTTATGATGAACATCTATAGTGAGCGTAAAAGTGCTTCTGTAACATGAAGTTTTTCTAAATTGTGAAAGGTAGAACTTTATGTATGCCCTTAGCAATGTCCTGTAACTTCTTCTCATTGCCAGCTTCCACAAACGATATGAGCCTGTGTGTTAATGTGTGACTGACGTGGCCAAAATTTTCTCCTCTCGCGTGGAAAATTCTTGTTAAAATTCGATGTCGTCCCACTTGATAACTCCTTCAGATGTCAAGCTCCTAGAGAAATAGGTTGTGAAGTATTTGTGCTCATCTTTTCCTCGTGAAACAAGAGTCCTATTCTCCTACCGAAACTTACAGTTTTTACTCCTTCTATGCAGTAAAATTCTCCGATATCTTCTTGTATATATATATATAACTATTAAATTCAATAATATGGCATCGGGTGCCTTTCTGGAGAATTCAGAAGCTAAATTTTGACAATTTTTTCGCACTTCAATAAATTTACAATATAAACAAGAAAGATATGCGTATTTTTAGAGGAGGAAAGTAAACAAAATGTTTTGAGCAATTTTATGCTATTCCAGATTTATATAATCAAAAACAACATTATTTTAAATTCGTATTATATAATTTCCTATGTAACCCAAAATTAGAGAACTATTGCAATTTTACGATTCAAAATTCATGTACGTAATGAATTATGCAAGAGCATATTTTAACGAATCTGTTGCATATGCTGGTAAATATTAACAACATATGCTGTTGCATATGCGTAGAAAATTATGTTCTAATCACAATCTCTAAAGATAACGACGAAATAATCAGATACGTATTGGGAAATGAGCAAGAGGATGAGGAAAAGGAGGATGAAAAAGATAAAGATGACACCTAGAATAACAAAGGTACGCAGAAGAAAGTTAACGAAGAATTCCACAGGTTCATAAAATTTCCCGAGAATTGTTCATAATGCCAGTATAAGATTCTATGAAACTTCATTGCGTACATAGGGAATTTTCCAAACTCCGGCAACAATCTCTTAAGCATGCAGACATTTAAATTTACATGTCATCACACTAAGAAATTTGTGGCATTCATGCAATAATATATATGGTCTTTTTAAAATGCTGTTTAATTTTATTTTTCTGAAATATAAGATCATGCGTATGAGTTTTAACCCATGTGTATCTGAAAACTAGGAGTTTCTAATTTGATTCAAGAAAGTAATTAAATTTTAATTGTTAAATATGCAAGAATTCTGAGCTTTTTGCTAAACGCATTATTTTTTGTACATATCCGGGCTTTTTTCTCTTTCATAAATATTGGTTCAAAGTCTTCACTTTGAAAGAAACCGGAAACAATATATAATGGGTAGACTCATTAAGAACAACTATAGAATCATCCAAGCTAAAAATCAAATTATGACTTTTTCAGTTTTCAGTTGTAATTAATTAAGAATGGGCATAATTACCAAATGTAGTTTTATGTTGAAAGATATGAAACAATCAAACACTTTTCAGTTGCAAACTTTGGCATTAAATTTACTTCGTCTAATGCGCATTATAAAAATTCAAATGCATATTCTGTATTTATTTTTGATATTTTTAAATGAATAATATTTCTTAGTATTTGAACACTGAGATTATACAGATATCTCATTGTATTTGTACTATGAGATATTTGGAATAATGGCCTACGGAAAATACTCTTAAAATTTATCGTACATACGAATGCTTCTTCTGAAGATAAAGATAATTTAGGAGGACGTATCTGATTTTGAAGAATCGAATGTTATATCTGATAACTCAGGTAACAAATAATTTTAAAGCATTGTGCCCAATACTTCTCTGCCGGGATGGGATAATCGTCCCACGATCGCTTTCCAGTTTCTTGGTTCAAAGGGAGAAGCCAAAGAAGGGGGAGTGAGCAGCAACAGTTGGCCGGTCGATGCGCAGAGGCCGTTGGCTCCGGTATTTCCCTCTCGCTCTTTCATTCAGGAAAAGAGCGGGAGAAGGAGTCAGTAACAGCCACGTGCACTTTATTATCCCGTTCACTCCTAGAGTCCACCTACAAAACTGATGTCAATATCACGGATGGAAGGTTAAAAAGAAGTGGGTTGAAGGTATAAAACATGAGCTCTGTCAAAAAAGGAGGATGCAATGGCGGCCAATGACTGTCAGAAGCGGTGGGGATGGATGCTGATGCTCACACGCACATCGCAGTGAACATTAGGCGGCCGGCCTCTTGCTGCTTTTCGCGAATCTGAAACACGCTCCCCACATTCTCATGATCGCGATGACCGTTTACAGCACTTTTCGTCTACTTCGGTGATTGTGCTGTTCGCTTTTTCCGTACAAGCCATATTGAGGACACTGGGTTTTGTCTAACTGCTTTCTGGATGGCCCAGACTTCCGAACCAAATCCTAAAAAGTGTCAAGGCGCAACCTTCACTTTAGGAGGATATTCTTACAAAATAGGTGAGTTTTGGACTTTAAGTTTAATTGGAGATATAATTACACTTGAGAAAATTCTGAAAAGATTTATCGATGTTATTTTCTGCGAATGACACATGAATTAATCTGTTAAATTTTTCAAAAGTATCACCGAACGGTTTTATTAACCGCATGACAACGGTGATTTACGAGACTTGAAAGTCTTCGAACTAGAAACTTTCTCCTCAAAAAGTAAAACGAAGTTGATCGGACAGTGTGAAAAAGGAATCAAATATAAATACAAGGAAAAAGTTTTTTCAAGCGCAAATACATGAGCTATAAATTTAAAACTTTTAAATTATATAATGTATTGAAGAATGATGCACAGAAAAACTGTCATCAAAAGTGTAACAGAAATAACTTTTGTTTCGCATTTTGCGCTCGGTAATGTGAATCGGATTGCTAAACTTATATCCATAAAAATAGGCTTTGATAGATAGAAAACTGTTTTCAAAATAATATGACTCAAGTTATGTGCTCATATGGTCTAATTTATGAAATTCTTATTAAAATTGCTAATAAAAATTAGACTTAAGAGAGCTAATTGTTTTTCTGAAGAATAGTCGTTTTTTCCTGCAAAAGAACTTGTAAACTTTTAGTCTGAGTTATCAAATACTACTTTTCAATAGAAATTCCTTAAAATTTTATTTTATTTAATAACTTTTAGCAATAATATTTTTTTTCCGATTTGTGATTCCTTCATTTACAAAAACATTTGCATAATTATATTTTATTTTGCTAATTGTGTCCTAGTAACTCCATTTACAGAATTTATTTATGCGTAAAAATGACTTCAGAAAATACATCGCATTATAAATTTCTCTCTATTAAATAATGCACTTGATTTTCATGCTGATTTTTAAGTTAACGAAAATAAACATTTGTGAATGCGTTACATAAAACTATATCATAAGACAAGGGAAGCTAATAACTTTAACAAAGGCGGTTTTTAGGACTGAATTATGAAACCAAAAATGTCGCAGCATCAATTAAACATGTTTTTCATAAATCTGTGTTAAACTTTCAGAAATATTAGGCACCTTAAACTTTTAGTTTTTGGTAATTGCCCTAACTACGTAACAACCGTAGACGGTATTTGGAGAAAAAAATCGTAATTGATAGTAGATTAAAATACCAACAAAGCAAAAGAATTTATTTTGGACTATCAGAACCAGGTTGAAACATTACCCAGGTTCATCGTATGATGATCCACAGAATTATTTTTATTGCATATGCAGACGCGCTTCTTTTTCTTGGAAACGAAGTCTTTCATCTGTACATGGAAAACATTTTCCTAGTCAAGAATTAAATTAAAGAAATATTCTTAACAACTTGTGATCAAGAAATATTTTTAATATCTTCAAAATAAATTTATTTTGTATGAATTTTGTATTGATATGCTAGTTATAAGTGAATTATTTTCAATTTAACAGTGGATTGCCAATTATGTAACTTGTCACGCTACATAGTTTTATAATCGCTTATCGGGTAAATTAATCACAAAACAGATTTAGCTTCATTAAAATGTGACATTTGCACTAGTTTTCTATACATTTGAAATTTCTTGAAACAATTGATTCGTTGATTATTTAGAGGATGTACATTTAATATGAAAGAATCTGTTAAATTGTTGCTAAAATGAATTGCATTAATATATTTCTCTAAGGATTTCAATATTTAATAAAACATTTTTCTTCCTGAAAAATCGCATCCAGACTGAAAGAACTATTTTAGTGCCATTGACATAAGTCTTACTTAGAGCATAAATATTACTCTAAATGGTTGTTAGAGCATCATTTTTTTTAATTGTTTTAAATTACATTAAACTGTCTAAATCTTTGCAATTAAATCAATCTGAAAATAGCCTCAAATCAATCTGAAGCTACTGTAGAACTCGTAATATTTCAGTAAAATCAAATTAATGAATTCATTGTACAAACTGTAACCTAAATCCTGTATTATTGAAAAACAGACATACAGTCTTTTATGGGAAATATGACCGGATAAGACCATTAATAAAAGATGTGAGCCTACAAATTTCAATGTATGTCCTATATTAGCCAACCTCAGGTGCAAAACTTGGTGCCGATTATTATTTTTTATAAATTAAATAACAGTTTTTTTATACCTTAAGTAGCAGTGCTTAATAAATGCATTTAAATTTTTGCATGATGCTGATAATTGTAATTTTACTTATAGATGACGGTACAAATTTCCCATTAATTTGCATTGCCTTAGATTTTTCTTTAGAACAATTTTTTTTTGCAAATTGTTGGACACTGTTTCAAATCGTTAGACATATCTAATTTTTTTCCATTTTTTATCTCATATCAGTAATAATTTTCATGGCTGTATAAGACGATAAAAAATGCTGAGATTCTTAATCATTTTGCTGCATGCGTCAGTATTTCACTTAATAACTCTCCAACGTATATAATCTGCATGACGTTTATTTCATAAAACATTTACTTTTGATTACGAATAGTATCATATTACTAACTTTCTTCAATATTTACGATAAATCTCATGAAATATTTACGTTGCATTTCAGGATGGTCACGAAACTTTCACAATGAGCTGAATGTGTAAGCACAGTTAGATTAAGTAATACTAGCATTTTAAAAATTATTTATACATCTATTAAAAAGGAAACATGTAAATTTATTTAGTAAATTATCTAAACGTTTAAAGAAAAGAATCCTCAAATATTTTTAAAGTAAACGATAACGTTTTTAAAAATTTTCTTACAGCCATTTTATTTTTTAAGGCAATTTATTTATCGAAATGCATTCAGTAAAATGCCTGATACGTTTTGTTAAAAACAAGTAATTTGAAGTTTAACAACTTCAATGCCCTAAAGCCATTGAAAAATTTCAGTGTGAATTCTTATCATGTCATGAGCACCATTCTCAAAAAATCAGTTTATCAAAGAATAATTAGCACATATTAATTATGCATTATTATTCTAAAGTGTCTCTTATTTAGAAAGAAGCTTTAAAACAAATGCTTTATGTTACACTATTTCAGGATCTAATCTGTATGACTTAACTCAAAAAGAAATGGTAATTAACCTCATTCCTGCAATAAAGCTCTAAGTTTTAAACTGTGCTTTTATTTTTAGTGAACTTCTGAACTAACTTCCATATACTTCAAATCTTTACTTCTTACAGTATAGGAAAATGCATACACCCCTGAAGTGTTTTCTGTTTCGAAACGAATTCTTAGATCTTCAAATCTGGAATTCCGATTCTTACTATCTTGCAGGGAATAAGATCTAGTGGTTAAAAGCAATTTCTCTAGCATATTACGGGCAGCGAACTGGCAAGAATTTTAATAGAATCAAGAACTGCATCCAGATGGGTCCCTTCTAATGGTTTCAGGCACTCATTCATAACAAGAGCAATTTCGGGCAACGGTGGCTCTTGCAGTGATGCTGAAAATTAATTAATCTTTAATGGTGCAACTTTTCTCAAGAAGACGTCAAGAATATAATTTTCTGCTATGCCGTCTAATACCTGAAGCCAACATAAACTATAATTGCATATTTTTGCACAAAATGTAAAAGCACTGAGACCCTAAGCGGCAGGAAGGGAATATATGAAATATAAATATGATACATACTTTAATCTACTTTCATATCTCATTTTGAAACCCATTATTAATGGCTTTTGTAACACTCCGAGTAAAAGCATGGGAAAGTTGCCAAAAAGCAAAGAGGTTTCCATCCAATATAGAGTATTCTTGCACTTTCTATTCTTTTCCTACAAATTTCAAGTACGTTATTTTCCAGAAGCTTGGTAAAAGATTGGATCGATAAACCTTACAAGTCTGTTTGATGGTCGGACTTATCTTTTTGCGAAACATAAGACAAAAGTTGGGACACTAATCCCTGTTTGCTAAAATGGATTAATTGTTAACATCGTAAATCTGCTTTAAGAGCACCCTAGTGCTTTGCTTCCTGTTTTGACATTTATAAATCCAATAATTCAGCAATTTTCAAATGTAATTTGTAAGAATGTAAATTTGATTTCAAAACGAACTGAAAGCATTTTTTTTTTATGTTATAAAAGTCGTTTTCTCAGAAGGTAATGTGTTGTTAATGCTGTTTGACTTCAGTCATGCTAACAAAATCATCTGCAAGTTTTGTGATCATGCATATAGTTTCGCAAAACATTAAGTAACTCGAATTTTCTTCATTTTAACTAAGTTACCAAAACAGACTAGAAATGAAAATAAAACATAAACCTTCAAGAGTTTTAAGATTTATATTCATATAAGTGTCTCTGCTTTGAAAAATATTATAATTATTTTAGGAAGTAGGTATAAAAGAATAAGAAGTAATTTTTATACTTTACACAAACTAAATAACTACGCTAGCATTCTTACAGCATAATTACCACTAAATCAATGCAATTACTCAGAAGCGTATTCTAATTCCTAGTGAACAAGGAGGTAAATGTAGCTAATGGCTGTAAAGATCTGGCTTGATATGATACTTCATACCGTACTAAATCCCGAAATAATCTATGTTTTAACTTTAAAAACGCAATTACACTATTTTTGCCTTCTAATAGAAATATTAATCTTCGAATAATTGTTTGTTAAACTTCTGTCAAAAGTAAATTTTGTCACTTCTTTATTAAATGTAGACAATTATTACTAAAATAATTAAATTCATTCTAAGAAGAAAAAATAAAAACTAAGTTACGTAATGAGATTAGATGTTTGAATTCTTCTCTCAGTTAGTTTACCTTAAAAAACATAACAAAATATTTATAAATACTACAACATCTCGTCAGTCTTTAAATTTTCGACATGATGAAAATTAACTCTATTTTTTATAAACAATTTTATTTATTAATTAAACTCTGTCACAAAAAACTTATGCAATGCTGAAAATGGAAATTTTCTGATTATACTTTTCTTACTAGTTCTTAGAGTTTAAGACGGAAGGCTGAACATCTAAAGTGAAAAACACCTAGACG